AGGGATTAAGATAATCCTTCAGAGGGAAGGGCCTTGCGTGGTTGGTAGAAATAGAACTCGTAGAGGTCCCTATATATTTGATGCATGATCGAATGTAAAAATTGTATTAAGCATGATGATACGATTCGTTTGAAAGAAAAACCGTGAAAAATTAATCTTAGCGGATTGCCGTCGCTCAAATGCCATCCCCGCGCCGTCGTGGGCACGGAACACGAGTCGGCAGATTCCTGGATCCGGCGCGAGAGAGCGACAATTTCTTGGGTTTTTTTTTTCGCGGACGTGCCGAAGCGGCAGGATGTTTCCCTGTCACTCGGGTTGTCTCTTGGCATGGCCTCGCTCTTCATTCGCGTGAGCTTGACGAACTGGCAGATCTCCCGTCTTCTCCCCACGGATGTCATTCGGGGGGGGGGAGGGGGGGGGGGGGGGGGGGGGGGTTGATTTCCAGCTCGAGAAGATTCTGGAGGGTCATCCGGAAAGAAATACCTTCGATTTTGTCTACCGCAAACTGCTTGTGACGCGAGTTAAAAAATGCAGAAGCAGATGAGAAAATGTCCCCCTCCCTTTTTTTAAATTTATTCATAAGTTTCGTGATTCCTGCCGAGAAAGCTCTGCCACTGTGGCGATTCGAAACGACAGACTGATGTCCGTCGGCAGTCGAGAGCGGCGATTGGGTTCTTCACGAGTCGACGAGTTTCGTGGAGGTTTTCTCGTGCCGATACGTGCGTGTGCCGAAATGCGTTCTGCGCGTGAATCGCGTGGAGAAAGCGGATCTGCGCGTTGCACCGCCTCGATCGGCCTCGCAACGACGGTGCTTTTTAAATAGGAATCACGCGACTTTGCAATGGACGGAAGGAAATATAAAAGCATCTGCTCGAGCGATCTCGGGCTCGTGCCACGAATGGTTTGCGGTGGGAAAAATCGGAGACGGTGCTTTTGGAGCGACTCTTGCGGAACCGATTCGTGGTCCTTCGCGACCAAAGCCACCGTGCAAAAGCTCACGAGCCGTGCAGATGAGCTCCGGCGGCGATCTTTTCTTTCTTTCGACCTCGAGAGCCCTGCGTCTGGGTTTCTGAGAGAGAGAGAGAAACCCAGACTCGGCATGTGCAAATCCCTTTAATCTCCTCCCCCGCATTTCCATCTCGTTCTTCGTCTCCCTCCTAATTTCTCGGTCCCGTTCCCAGCCGTCCCATGCGACGATCGCCACCATCTGAGGCCATTCGCCGAACGAACGACCGTCGAACGTCAGTTCTCCTTTCGGATCGTCGGTCGTATTTTAGACCGAACGATCTCCGGGATCGATCCCCGATCGGATCCGGTCTCTTCTCCCCCGTTTGACGGAATCGTTGGGATCCTCCCGGTTCCGCCGAATCGCGTCCACGCTAACAACGAAAAAAAAAAAAGCGGGGGGCGAACATCGATTTTCACTCGCTTTTCTGCAATCGGCGTCTTCCAACTGGAAAAGGAAATCTTCGGAGGGGAACATCTCGTATTCCGAAATTCTATTCGCTGCCAGGGCGAGATATTCCAGTCGATGAAACACCCCGAGTCCAATATTTATCGGAGAGTCCCGGTCGTAAATAAAAAAAACCGCATTTTTGGTTTGGCAAGTCTAATCCAATGGCACATGCGTTCATCTATCGGCCAAGTGTAACGGCCCGTGGTCTGTCGAATGATGATATGAGATACGCTTGCTCAAAATGGGTCGGATTTTGCTCTCTCGTGTTTCGGTTTCCTTCTCTTGCCTGGAATATCGGTGAGCTCATCATTTTTGTCATCAGGAGCCAGTTTCCCGTAGTTGTGCCCTTTCGGAAATTCCGGTCTAGCATGTTTGCTGCTTCGATCACATGCACATCATTTTCTCCCCCCCCCCCCCCCCCCCCCCCCCCCCTTCTCATTTCCTCTCAGCCCTCTAAAATATGAATTGAGTACCCAAGAGCACTATAAGAAGATGGGGGGTGGGGCGCTAAGGGCTCAAACGCGGAAAGAGGAGTGTTAAATCGAAGTTGACGAGGGAAGTAAGCCCCCTTTCGGCAAATTTCCCATTTTCCCCACCAAAGACGTCATTTCGCGCGAGGGAAGAGTCCCTCAGAAACGTCGGGAGGGGGCGGGTCCCGAGTCCAGGGTCAGGTCGTCACTCCCTCCGCGAGAATACATTACCTTACAAGGGGTGAATAATTTAACCCCCGAAGGTAACCGTCACGGGGTGACGGGCTGTGTGCAGAGGAAGCGATCGTCGGCGGGGGGCGAACAAATCCATTAGAATCTCTTCTTAAAAGTGGTTTACGCGTTAAAAGGCTCCGAACGTCCGCGTCGACCGACGATCGAGAGACGCTGCTATAGAATGCCATCGAGGCGTATTTCGTGGTTAGAGAATTTCATTTCTGCCAACTTTTAGGTGCGAGCGATCGCATCACCTTAATTCGCGTTCCAAATCCGCGTTTGCCAACGGTGATGCAATCTGCCGAGGGCGTCCGGGATTCCAAGGCGGGAAGGTGAGGCTTGGACGCGTTCCGGGACGTCGTCGAGCCGTCCGACGCGGCCGAAACCGGCGGGGGATTTGCTTCTGTGCTTTCTGGGGAAACGTCCGCGAAATATGACTGAGAGGGAAAATGACGATGGCAGGACGCGGTGGCCGTTTTGAAGGGCAATGTCGTTGCAGAATGCGAAAACGTGGAATTGGAAATGTTTCGGGCTGTTTTCAGGGATAAAAAATCAGGATAAGAAATCATAACATTAGGATTCAATAGGATTCGAAATTCATCGTACCGCTCACTCGGCTCGTTTTTTTTTTTTTATTTCATCGAGAATTGCGGGATGAGGCCGAGGTTAGTTTTGCGCCTTCGCCCGCAGATGATTCGGCACGCGACCGATGAATCGTGCCAAAAAGCGAGGAAGAAGCTCGCGGAGCGAGAATCTGCAAAGACGTTAAATGACGTCAAGACGCGAGACGGACTCGTTTCTTTCGACTTTACGGATCGGACGTGCCACTCGCCGCCGACCCGAAACCGGGACGAGGTCATCCCCGTGCACCTGCGAAAATAGTCGCAAGAGTTCATTAATAAAGTGTCACGCGTTTCTGCTCCGCTCGGAAAAGAAGAGGGAAAATGGAGGAATATGGGAAGGTTTATTTTCTCACATCCGGCGGAATCATCAGCAATGCTTCCTGTAGTCCAAGCCCGCCTTCCTGGATGGCCACGGATTTCTATTTCAGTCCCATTTCGTCACATAACCCGCAACGGAAGGAATTCCAGCCTCCTCCCCTCACCCCTCCAGCTCTCCTCCCCCTCCCCCTCTTCTTCCCTCCCCCCTCCCTCTCTCCTCCCCTCCCCTCTCCTCCCATTCCCCCTCTCCTCCCCTCCCCCCTCCCCCTCTTCTTCCCTTTCCCCTCCCTCCCTCCTCCCCTTCGAGGTGCATGAGCAATGGGGGAAGCACCAAAAAATTTGGGGGTGGGGGGGGGGCGGCCAGGCAGCTCGAAGGGAAGATGTTATGAGCTGAGAGGCAGAAAAGGATGAGAAGGGAGCTGAGGCAATGTGTCTCAATTCAGGAAAAATAAAGGATCTAAAACGGGGGTGTCCCACTCAATTTGGCGAGAGTCGAATGATTCGGTTCGGGTGTGTTTTGGGGCCTCACTGACGAATCTCACACCACATTTTTTATGCGGACGAGTGAAATCGGCAGCAATTTTCCGAAATCAACCGCTCGAAGAGGAATTCGCGGGCCGGATCCGGCACTCCGCCCGCCTGTCGGGAGACCGATCGAAAAGCGGGAAGAAAGGCGCCGACGGAACTCCCATTCGGATGTAAACAAAGTGTGATGCAGTGTAAACCTCGGGAGAGAGGGGGAGAAAACTGCCGGGAACGGTCTCCTGTGCCGCTCGCCTCCGTTCCGATTCTTTTCCACGAACTTCCTGGAATTCTCGGAGACGGGAAGGAACGAAAGGGAACGGGCTGGACTTCCGAGACCGAAAAACCGCAGACAAAATGCGTCTGCGGTGGTGCAAATGAGCTAATTCGCCCCGTGGAGCATCGCAGTGCTGCGCAGAAGTAACAGCGCACGACGTAACGCGACGCGAGAAATTTACGACTGGAACCGTAACACGACATAAAGGCATGACTTAGCCATGCCACAGTTCGTGTCGCGATTCAGCCGACGGCATAAATTATGCCTTTTTTTTCCCCGAGGTCGTTGCCGCGCACCCTCGGGTATATCGACCCGACCGGAACCGGCCTCCTCCGTCCGACAGCGCTAAATATTAAATTCGACTCCCGCCTCCCCTCCGACGTCGGATCGAGGCTCACCGCGAACGAGCCTCGCAAGAGGGATTCAACTCATCAAACTTCCAGGATCTTCCCCGCATCGTGTGCCCGCCGCGTGTTTAATCGCAGCGAATTATCGACCTCCTCTGGGATCGGTCCCGACACGCTTCGAAAAGAGACATCCGCCGAATGCAATGCTACGTCGCCAAAGGGCGACATAGACTCGACGGAACCTTCTCTGCTATTTTAGTTTCGTGCGCGGTGCGCTGTGAAATAGCAATCGGGTAGATGGCAGTTTCACGCCGGATTTATTTTGTTTCTGTGTTAAGTTCCAGACTCTCCTGCGGTCGATATTACCAAATGGAACGATCCTAGAGATTCATACAGACAATTGCAGATAGCTTCTTCACACGAGTACGCATCTATGAATCCAAGCAACAACGAAAAACTATTTTGGCTCCGATATTAATTCCTCGCGCGGAGGATGTCTGTTGCAAGGTCCGCGTCCCTCCTTCCCTTTCCCCTTCGTCGGCCAGGCTCAGCGTGGGCAGTAGGCCCTCGGCCTAGGCTAGCGAAGCATGGGGATCCCGTGGCAAGGTGCTGCTCGCTATGCGTTCGCAGGTGCTGGCCTGGGCATTAACTCCGCTCCGAGTTCACGGTCGTGCAGTCTCCCTCGAGAGTCGGGACTCGAGCGTAAATGAATCCGGTTTTGCACGGAGTGTTTCATCGCCCACGGAATCCGGGATGTCGGTGCTTGGTCTAATATTAGAGGGATATAATGACTCGCAGTGTCGGATTAGGCTATAGGCCTTTGTCTAACGGTAAGTTAGATAGCTGGATCCGGGAAGCAGCTAAAATTCCGATCTGTTATAGTCGTAGTTTAAGATACCAGAACAGTCTGAAATCTCTTATCTTTCTTATCTTCAAGAACATCAATAAACGGTTGTTGATCCCAAACAAAAGTGACAGGCTATGACCAGGGCTGCTTCGGATCTTGTTTTCTCCAGCTCAGCTCAAGCCTATCCTAAATTGCAGGTAACCTCTTACTATCACATGACCTCCAGTGAATGTGGATCAAACCTACAACATATGGTAATGACATCCAAACTGCAAGTCATTATGCTTTCATCTCTTGCTGTCAAAAGGAAGAGGCAAGTTGACAAGTGGAAGGAATGTAAAGGAGCAATAGCTACAATATCAGGATTGTAACTGGATCCTGGACAGCATTGAAAGTATTGTTTTTGGAATGAATTCATCCCTGTCCACTGGAGCTCATTTGTCAATTGCAGGTAGTGGCATTTTGCAGATTAATATTTTTATGGATCATTCAATGAAGTAGCAGTAATGGTTTTTCCTTTTTCCTCATCCTGTAGGGGAAGGGGGAAGGTACAGATTCAAACTGAAAATGGTGCAGATGCTCCTAACATGAATATCTGGCTTGTGTACATAACATAACTAGGTTATACATGCCTGGTCCCAGTCCTAAAGACTTTTGCCTGAAGTTTTTCACCCATCCAGAATTGAATCTGCCTACCTTAGGTTTTGCTGTTAGTTCTAGGGCTACATAGTCATTCTCTTCCAATTTTGACCAAGTTATAAGAATACCTGAGCATTTCCCTTGTGCATATCACTAAACATGCTTCTGGCAATGTTAATAATCCAATCTCTATGTGTTTGGAAGAGACTACACTTACTGCATAGCCCAAAGTCTTTTTCTCAATTAGGCTTGGAGAGGTAAGGCTTATAGCAGTAATATTAATACCGAACAGCTGTAGCCATCTCATCATTGCCAGGAGTCTGCATTCACTCTGAGATTTTATTTTATTATCACCTATGTTTTCAGGTATGTGAGTGACTTGAATACCTTGGATTGTGATGGCATGTCCTCCTTTCATAATTAATTTTTATTCTGATTAAATTGCAATTCAGAATATGCTTATTAGTAATCTATAAATTATTCTGAGCTCTATGAGCAAAGGCTGGAGATCAGGCTAAGATTTGCTTATTTGTTATTTATTCATCCTAGTGCATTGTCATTTTCTTTTTGCAGATGGTGGGGGTGAAAAGTCTGGGACCTATATGTTTCATCTACCACCTTGTGCCTTATAGAAGTAGCTATAGCTGATCTGGTGCAAGTGATGCTGATGGATCATTCCTTGTGATAAAATTATATGGCATTTGAAGCCATTAAAAGTTTTGCATGAGTGGAAAAGTTGAACATTGGCTTGGGATGAAGATGAGGTACCGGAGGACCATACCAAGGTACGTATGGTTGGGATGCTTGGCTTTGCTGGCCATGATGTACATGTTGTTCCGATCCGGTTCGTCCAAGTCGTACGTCAAGAGCATGTCGAGCAAGTTCACAGACGTGCCCGTCTCTGTGAATGACACGCACTCCATGTTTCGAGATCACTGTCCGGCCGTGAAGCCGGCCATCACCGACATCGAGACCGTCCGGCAGATGCAGGAATTTGTGTATGATGTGAGTGCAGCACTGAGATAATTCATGACCAATGTCTTCTTAGTGCTTCTTGAAAGTCTTGAGAAGGGCATATGCAAGAATTCTAGAAATCCAAACTTGCATAAGTGTCAACTTTGCCATTTCAACTTGCAGGCAGGCTTAGAATCAGTGAAAGACACATTCCCTTGCTATAAGTAATCTTTTCATGCAAGTGATATGTACAGTTTCCATGTCTGCCTTTTACCACTGTGCACAAATGGATGAATGGATGATCTCATGAATGGGTAATAGTAATATTTTATCAATGCTGCCAGAACCCTTCTGGGACAGACCTGCATGTCAGGGTTATCATGATTCATATCATGATTCATGAATAACAGTTCCCATAAATTGTTCCTTTTTTCTCTCTCCAGATTTTCCTAATCGCCAAGCTATAACTGGTTTGATCAGTTGCTAATGATGGAATTCCAGTTTCTTGACCCCGCGGGATCGTGCAAAGAGCTGTGAAGATGAACAGCTGCCCCTATCAACCCTGTCTGACTCATAAAACATTTTGGCATCCATCTCACCCTCGCTTGAAATGACATGACCACCCATTTCATTTCTACCGAACGGTGAAAGACTCCCACAGTAATTTTTCAAAAATATGAAGGATTAATTCTTGCGGCAATAGCACTTCACTTCCGGTACTAATCATCTATCTGCCAGCAATCGACATTCCACTGCTGTAGAGCCCATTGAACTCGGTGTGTGGCTTTTCTTGAGGATTCAGCGCATTTAGACATTTTCTTGACAGATTTGCGATATCGGTTCTTTCATCAATGTGTCTTCGAGCGCAACGAGGGATCGTCCGGAATCGTCACAGTTGGTGATGTTTTCTTTCTTTATTTTAAATGTATTTTGGAAGACACTCCCAAAAATGAAATCGTCTCATGATGTTCCATCCTGACCCCCGTGGTCGTTATCTTGTCGCTTTTGCATCGAGCCACATAAATACGCGCATGGGGCATTAATTCACGATTTTGTCACACCTGCAGGTTTCGCGAACATTTAAAAGGCTTGCGTTATCCTCACGAGACGGCCCCAGCTGCACGAGTTGTCAGTCTCCATCGCCGACTCGGCCGATAGCGCGTTTCCGCCACGGACGGGGGGAGATAACGCCCTTCCCTCTCCCAGGCTGCGAGGGCGTTCGAGTGAAGGATGTGACAGGGCTTGGTCGATGAATAGGGGGTTCCCGTCTCCCGCGACGGAATTGAAGGACTGCCAGGGCCAGACACTTGTCTGAGTTTGGCAGCCTTCCCACGTCCCAATTAGTTTGGTCGGGGACCCCCATCGAAATCTGCTGACAATGCGAGACGTGTGATAGAGAGATAAAAAGAGGGCGTCGTGTACCGTTCGGTGCTCTTTGTTCCTTCGTTACGGTTCGCGATCGCTACGATGCGAGTGACTCGTTTTAAACGAAACTAAATCGGCGTCGTCAGAAAAAACTCTACTATCTCCAAAATCACGGCCGGTACTAAGCTTGTCTCGATCCAAGTACTTGTCATGCCTCGGACGCTCCAGCTCCGCCATTCCTTCATCGACCGGCGACCGATGGCGGGGTCGGATCCCGAGCACGAAGATCGATATAGGCGGAGTATAGACGAAAGGCTGGCTGCCAAATATATGAAAATCTTTTTCTTTTTTTTTGCTCTCTCCCGTTCTTTTTCTGGAGCGCAAAATTACAGGGAGTGGTCCCCGTTTCCTCCCCCGTCACAATAGAAGAAGCGCGAAGCGAAGTATATTGTACTTGCGTTCGTTCCATTCCATACTTTTCATCTGTCATGCAAATCTCCCGGTCATTATGAACCTGGAGTGTATATATTATCCCGGATCTCGTTTCCTGTCATGCGGGTTCCCAACAGGTGCCTCGGCGAGTTTTTTTTGTTGTTGCCTGGAATGAATATAAAAAGGGGCCCGGTCGGTGCCCCTTCTTGGTCGAGTTCCGCGCTATTCCATATTCTATCTCCTCTCGTATATTCCTTCCATTTCCGTCACTCGGGGAAAATGGACCCGTGCTCTCGTTTTGCATTCCTCATACTCCAGCATTATCTCCCTGCTTGACTGCTCAAGCGATCGTAAGTGCCAATGCCACCCTGTTAATCCAAGGTCTGTAGCAAGAGATGGCCTTTCCATGCCCCTTTCCACCCAAAGACCATCGACACAGATTTTACGATCGAATGTGACATAGACTCACGATTCTCTCTCCTCTTTCCTAGCCTCCCTGGGTCGTGAACGGAAGCTTCTGGGACAATCGATTCGAGTTGAGATACAAGAAGAGGTTGGAGAAACATCGAAATCTCCCCCTCGAGGTCAATTTGCACATTTAACCCTCTTTCGCCATTTATTTGTATTCGTATTACAGTGGTTGTATTGGGGACATTGACCGAGTGAAGTATGCGCATCACGTCGCCTTTTTTTTTTCTTCTATTTTTTTTTTTTTAGTTGTGGAGGGATAACAAAAGCTTTTTCCGCTGGTTGGTTTCTGTCCTTCAATGCGTACCTTGTTGCATGAAACGAAAAAACCGCATTTATTTCCTCCTCTCCCCCTTCCCCCCTCGTGTTAGGAGTGTTTTATGTTACTAGCTATGCCATACCCACGACTTCAAAAATGCTCGTATTCTGCCTCATGACCGTTGATCGTGATGCGGAAAGGAGATTCGCAGAGGGAGAAGAGGCTATAGGATTTCGGTTCTCTTTGGTACGATTGATTTGTTTGTTCGGGACGGATTGAGTGCCCTGCCGTTCTCTTGTCTCCTGAGAATTAGGTTTACTTAAAGAATCCCTTTTCGTCAGAGCTCTAATCTGGCCCTGCCAATGGGGATTCGACTTTCCTTGATTGGTGAAAGCATGTCACTTTTGTCGACGTTGAATTGAATCTGAGATGGGAGACGTGACCCTTTCAGGTGATAGTGCTGATGTGGTCCCACTTGGACCCGGGCTGGCTGGATACGGCCGATGGCTACTACAACAACAAGGTGAAGTACATAATCGAGAATGCCATCTTTCACCTGCAGAAGCCGAACTTCACCTTCATGTTCACCGAGATCGAGTACCTGGACATGTACTGGCAAAAGTGGGTTTGGTGGGGTCATTGTCCGTGAAGGAATTTGTAAGAATGTCTGCGCAAAAAAAATGTTATTGTTCGTCGTGAGCAGGGCCCACGAGACGAAAAAACAGGCCATTCGTGACGCCTTGGCCAAAGGGAGTTTGGAGATATCAACCGGAGGATGGATTATGACCGATGAGGCCGTCTCGCACTATTATTCGATGCTGGTGCAGCTCATTGAAGGCAAGTGGGATCCCGTCTCCGTTTGTTCTGGGGATGCGGATGCCGAGTGGCACGACACAATGCTGCTTTTGCAGTGAATGGAGGACTGTTAAATTTGACCTGCTTTCCGTGGATGTGTTACGTGTGTTTTTATGATGACTGGGACAGGGGCTAAAGTACATCCACAGAAGAACGTTTATGTGCCATTTGTCCATAGGGTCTGGAGGCAAAGTGGGTCATTATTTCTTTGCATGATTTATTTAGAATGCTTTCCTGTTTCCCAGGTCCAAATTGGATTAGCAATTCCGAGCAGTAATGAGGGTGGATGCCTGACTGGAACCATTCTTCTCTCCCTTTTTTCAGGTCATAAGTGGATCGAACATAATCTGGGGAAGGTGAAAGTGAAGTCAAGCTGGAGCGTTGACCCTTTCGGCCACGGCTCAGTCATGCCTTATCTCTTGAAGGGCAGTGGGATCGAGAACATGGCCATCCAGCGCATTCACTTTGCCTGGAAGGAATTTTTTGCCACGCATCAGCTGGGGGATTTCTTCTGGCAGCAGGCTTGGGACTTCAAGGGGAAACAAAACGTCCTCTGCCACAATCTCCCCTTCGACATCTACGACATTAGTCACACTTGTGGGCCGCACTTCGAGACCTGCAAGCAGTTCGACCTCTCCAACACGAGGGGAGATGTCACCTATATGAAAGCAAAGCTCCCAGAAATGGCTGCAAAGTTGGTGGGGGAGTACCAGCGCATGTCATCCCTGTTCCCGCACAATGTTGTGATTGCATTCCTTGGCGAGGACTTCAAATATGATATGGACGAGCAGATGAGCAATCAGTACCAGGGCTACCGAGTGCTCGTAGACTACATCAACTCCAACAAGGAGACCTACAATACCAACATCCGCTTCGGAACACTGTCAGACTATTTTAACCTCGTGCGAAAATGGGATCGATCCAAGTTTCCAACGCTTCAAGGAGACTTTCACGTGTACAGTGACGTGTTCTCCTGGCACAGACCGGCTTATTGGAGTGGGTATTACACCACACGTCCACTGGTGAAGTCTTTGGACCGCTTTATGGCCGGAGAACTGCGATCAGCTGAAATCCTGTATAGCTATGCTGTAACGCGTACATCACAGACAGGTCAACTCAAATACCAGAATCGCCTAGAGGCACTTTATCCTGATCTTGTAAAGAGCCGGCGAACTCTGTCAAGATTCCAGCATCACGACATCATCACGGGAACGAGTCGTCAAAATGTCATGCAGTGGTATATTGACAAAATGATAACATCACTTAAATCTTTGTTTAAAATACAAGACTTGTCTCTTCAGGCACTACTTGATCAAGAGAATGAAGTTGCTGCAGAACCTGAGGTCCATCTCTTGAAACCATACAAGTGGAGTTACTCAGATTATTGGCCTGTTAAGATTCCTGTTACAGTGGTCCCAACCCATTCTAAGCGAGTGGTCGTTTTTAATTCACTAGCTCAACAGAGAATCGAAGTGATAAGGCTGAACATACCAGCTAATCAGTCCGTTCGGGTCACAACTTTGGACGGTCAGCCGGTTCCCTATCAGATCAACCCGGTGTGGAACCGGACATCAGACAGAGCCAATGTTTTCCTCAGTGACCTTCATGTGGAGGTGGCATTCGTGGCCACTCTTCCTCCCCTGTCGGCTGTTGTTTACGAGCTGCATCGCATCGAGGTTGAAGAGCCGCAGAAGAGAGCTGCCATTTTTTCAAACTTCCTTCATGGCAGCCAGAACAAGGGGTTTGTGTTAGAGGGCATCCCCAAGGACAAAGATATATCCATTGAAAATGATTTTCTCATAGTCACCTTCAATGGGACATCTGGGGAGATGAACCACATTCAGCGAAAGCAACGGTCAGAGAAGAAATTGATCTGCCAGTCGCACGTTCTTTATTACGAGACTCGAATGGGTGAGAATGGAGCTTACCTGTTTAAAGTGGATGCTGGACCCAGAACCATCACCGGTTCATCTCGTGCAAAGATTGTCATCGTCAATGGAGATGTGGAAACTGAGCTGGCTGCCTTTTATGGAGAGTATCTCGTCCTCTCATACAAGTTGTATCACCATGGTGGTCCCATCCAGTATGGGATTCAGGTTGAAAGTATTCTTGAAATGGAAGCAATGTCTACATTTAAACTTCACAATGCTGATGTCTTCATGAAGTTTAACACAGCTGTAGAGAATGGCAACCCACCTGTGTTCTATACAGATGGCAATGGCTTCAACATGCAGAAGCGGGTTTTGATCGATAAGATTGGAGTTGAGGGTAATTATTACCCTGTGACAACGGCCATCTTCATCGAAGATGCTATGGAACGAATGACTATTTTGACCTCTCATTCACACGGAGCATCAAGCCTCCAGACCGGAAGCATAGAAATCGGACTCGATCGTCGTGCCGATGTCGACGATGGCCGTGGGTTGGGTGAAGGTATCGTCCATGAAGGGCCTTCCAGAACGTATTTCTGGCTTTTGCCAGAGTCACGTGACCAAGAAGAGACTGATGTAAAGAAGGTACCGTTTCTTTCCCTGCTTGCAATATATCTCTCCCAGGGATTAAATTACCCTCCAGTCCTGAGTGTGATTGACTCACAGCGTATTGCACCTCCCAGCAAGGGACATGTGAACTGCCTGAGTCGAAGTTTTCCCTGTGATATTCATCTTCTTGGGATGAGGCATGACAGCCACCCATCCAATTTGAGCACATCAGGAACTTCTACCATGTTGATGCTGCATCGTCTTGGCTATGATTGTGCCCTTCAGATGGGGCTCCTGCCGTCTTGCAGCATCTCAAATGGAGCTGTTAACTCAGGCACACAGTTTCTAAATTTAAAAATTTCTGAAATAGATGAGGTATCATTTACCGGTTCTGTTCGGGAAGGTAGACTCAGAGAGCTCAGCCACTCTATCCTCAACCCAATGGAGATCCGTTGTTTCAAACTGACTTTTGAATGACACAAACTATTGTGATAGTGGAAATTTTGAGGCTTTCTCTGGATCAGAGAACTTTACGTGAAGGAGATCCCTTATTGTGGGTAACAAGAATGGTTTTGATCTGGTGATGTGTTGTCATCGTCTTCATGTGATCCTCTTCACCTTGTAGCATTTATCATCCACATTGGAAGGCACTTTCTTACTGCAATTTTCACATGGGGAAATCACAGGCATTTATTGCACACTTTTTCTGCTGCACTTGTTGGACACCTTTTATATTTATACATGTCTATGAAGATGTTGCATGGGTGTAGAAGGCTGTTAGGGACCAGTTAGTTTAGTGTCTTGTTAGATAGTTCAGAATCTTGAAGTTTATGTAGCATCGAACTTGTTCACATTTGATGGTGTTTCCTCAAATATTTTTTCCTAAAATCCTGTTTTAGTGCAATATTTTCAGAGCAATTTTTCCTGCTCTTATGCCTAGCCCCATGGTCTTTGCCTTTAGTCATGCATTTTAGCACCAAGATCCACCTCAATGGAATCTTAATCTTTTTTTTTTTCTTACTTTAGTACAAATAAGAGCCATAAAATTTCCTCCAAAAGAAATGAGACGTGTTTGCCTAAGTATCACTGGGCTTTCTATATCATGCTTGCATTGTAGGAATCTGAAGCTGTTTCATTGAGTACAAGAAATTGGACCCACATTTACTTCGTACCTACATATTGATTGAAAGATTGGTTTTCTTCCTGCACAATTTTAACTTGAGATGAATGGGCTTACCCGTATCTGTTGGAAGTCTGCTAGGGGCACTGCATGACTGAATGACCAAAGAATTTTAGTTGTGGATCATTTATTTAGTTTACTTCCATGTAACTGCTGAATGTGCTAGTCCTCCATGAGTGAGATCATGGTAGTTTCTGGCTTTAAGGATCTATTCACCTCCCTCCCCCCCTTCATCTCTTCCGTCCTGTTGGGTGCAGTAAGTTCTAATGAGAAATCAGAATCTGTGACTGCTGTTATGTGACATTGACCTCATCTTCTGGTTCTGCTTTCATGAACCTCTTGCACAATGACTTACATTAATAGTGATGTATGTAATGGTTGAAAGAAAAAAGATGGCATAAAAGTAGCAGTCTCATGTCTTGCATTCCTTGATTGTAATTTTGAAAACATAGTCTTGTCTTTGTTTGTGAGGATATCTGGGCGAATGTGTTAGCTTCCCTGGCTAGGTATATTATGAAAATGGCTGTATTTCTTTGTGACAGTTTATGTGTACAGGGTGGACCAAAAGTCCTAATCCATTCATCTTATGTAGTTCCCACCATATCTGTGTGGTCCCCATTGTTGTCCATGTGTAGCTGTTGACATTTCCTGGTCATTTTTTATGCGTTATGAAGCATAGGTATAGTTAAGCTGTAAATGTCACATAATCACGTGTGGTGCTCTCCAGGTCATCTCCGTACCACAATTTTTATTGGCTGATCTCTTTCTTCACAGATGCAGGGAAAATGTGTCCGTTTTTGAGGTTAGGGCCTCAAGTTGCTCCACTATCAGAAATTCACTTGTATCTGCTAGATTTTAGGTTGCTACTTAAACCAAAAGAAGAAAAAAAAAACAAGTATTTGATTGCCAAAGGAAAGAGACTTATGGTTCACCCAATGGATTGAAGATTGTTGCAATCACTCCAGTAAGGAATGGACAGCCTCGCTTTCATTTTCAAAAGCCACAATTTAAAATTATGGGGAAAAGTACTTGAAGGCAGCTGAGGGGTTCCTACACATTATTTCTTTCAATGCTGATCAAATTGTGTTGCATTTCTCAATTTTGCTGTCTCCAAGCGCTTGTTCGCACTCTTTCATGTCTTGGTGCATTTGTCTAGTGTTTTTTCTGTTGCCATCAGATAGAGGAATTTATGAAATTATTTATTGAAAAACTATTTAGTATTGAAGAATAAAAGTTCTTGTAGTTAAAAGGGGCTCCAGTGTTAAGTTATTGAGATTATCATTGCAGTACAAGAAGCATGATAGCCTCAGTCTCACATGGTCGATTTGATATCAGGTGCAGCTTCTTTTTGATTTGCTTATGAATGTTTGTCTCATGAAGATATTGTAAATCCAGGGTACCACCGATGCAAGACTGGCTCTTCCCTCGAAAGTCTGCAAACAGAATGGTTCCCAGTCAATTCGAAGAAGTTGTATTCGTTGTTAGGACATTAAATTTGCAGGAATGGAATGAATATTGAAAGTGAGAAAGGAAAATCCCAGGCCTATTGAACTGTGCACTGGAACAATGGTTTCTGATCCCATCACTCTTCTCCTGCACTATCTGAAACGAATTACCATTAGCATCTTTTTTAAGCAACATATTCTAGGTACTAATTCAATAAACTCGGCAGCTTGCTTCCTATTCCAGGTTTCCATTCGCTCCTTCCTGGACTTCTATTCGTTTTCTCTCCGTTTTCAATTCCGCTTCTTCGCTTCATTTCACATCATTTTTCTTGCACTTCGACTTCCCTCTGACTTTTTTTTTCCCGGAACCCTGCATTTACCCAATTGACAAGTATTTACAATAATTTTCTGGACTCTAATTCACTGGCTGTGCGATGCCGTCATCCACAATTCTTGGCGAAACACTCACGATCCACTTCGGGAAGAGCGAAACGTTTTCAACATGCACGGACCCTGTCAAACGTAGAAACACGAAATCCCGCTTGGGATCGGTCATCCCCTTCAGTCCCGAGTCTGCACGAGCGGAATGGGCGCCGCGCTTGCACAGGAGCTGCCCTCGCGCTGGATCAACTTGGATCGTGCTGGACCTCGCAGAGCACCTCGCCCGCATCGCACCAGCTGCGGAAACAGTTCATTTGACCTCCAATTTATTATGCGAATTGGAATTTAGAAGAATCTAGTCAGTAGGAGACATCAAATGTGACTATAATGGGGGCAAACAAACGCGCATATAACATGCTGAATTTCACCTCTGTAAGTCAGTTCTTAATAAGGTATTTCTTTTAAATAGAGAAAGGTAAACGTTGAGAGCAGTGCGAAACGTTGGAGAAAGCGGAGAGATCCTCATCCATCGCATCTCAGCCCAATAGCCTCTCCTGATGCAATTATTACATACAATCTTTTTTTTTTTTTATTCGCGATGGTGAATGTTTTCCCACGAACTATCCAACAAGAACAAACGCAGTCTGCATCCGGCCGTACATGTAGGACGGGTTCCCGTCCATCTTCGCCTCGTTTGATTTGAGGTTTGATATTGTTGATGCCGAGGTGCGGACAGAACGTGATGCACACCTGGGTAATCACATCGAGTCGCTAGGTGATGGCGTCACCGTTGCCCCATGCAGTCACGGTCCCGCGAAGAAGCAGGCGAAGTATAATATTTTAGCCTAGTCCCGTCCAGTGGCGTAGCGAGGAGGGGGGGACTTGAGGGGAGGGGCTTCAGTTCCCTCAAATTTGATTCAAGCCCCCCCAACCCCGGTCCAAATGCAGCCCCCACTCCCCCCTGGTGAGAAGTAAGCCCCCCCCCCCCGTTCCGCTTTGCCCCTCCATTAGCTAAATCCTGGTTACGCCACTGGCTGGTCCTGTCACCTGAATAACTTTTCAGTCTAGACATGTCACCTGTCTTTTTTACTGGCCTCAAAGGGCCACTTGCAGCCCCGTACAGAAGAGCTTTTTACAGAGTGACAAGCTCTCCAGTTCTTTTTTTTTGCTATGCTTGGTTTCAACGAGGCTCATGTTTCTATCCTCTAGACGTCGACGTGCACTCTCGAAGCAACCGACTCATTATGCTTGCGTTTACTTTTTCAAGCCTCCGGCAATTCTCTTAGCTGAACAGGTCTCCGCATCTCGGAGATTTCATACCTCACGTGCATTGACTGGGCGACATACCTTTTCCCAGGTAGTGAGGTCTTGAAGTTTTCAATTTCATTTTTTTTTATTGAAAGCGAACCGTAGAAGCAATGACGCCCACAAGGCAGGGGCGGATACAGAAATTTTTCATGGGGGGGCAATTCCCAAGTTCCTACCTACCTCCCCCTCGCCTACCTCATTCCTCGTCCTTTCGCCTTTTTTATTTTTCGTCTGGGGTATCATAACTTGAGTATCTATTTCACTGGCTCCAATAAAATTTAATGCAGAAGCTATTTTGAATAAATAAATCAAATGCTAACCTGGCCATAGGGGGGCCGGTCGTCCCCCCCCCCCCCCCCTGGGGGGCGGGGGGGGCCCCCCCCCCCCCCCCCCCCCACCACCATGGCCAGGTTAGCATTCTATTTTATTTTATTTTATTTTTATAGCTTCTACATTTAAAATTTTTTAGAGACCAATTAAATAGATATTGAAGTTTTTACACCAGACGAGAAATGAAAAAGGCGAAAAGGCGGGAGGGGAAGGGGGTTGGCAGGATTGGATTAAGGTTTCGAGGGGCCTAAGGCTAATGGGAGGGAAGGGTCCAAGTATGAATTACGTATTGCAACAACAAAAAAAATGTTATGGAGGGCCTAGGTAGGGCCTAAAAATATGAGATCCTAAGGCTATAGCCTATGGGTTAATCCGGTCCTGGGGGTAGGTAGGTAGGAACTAGGGAACCGCCCCCCTATGAACAATTCTTGTATCCGCCTTTGATTACATGTATACATACGTTCCGACATTTCATGACACCCATACAGAAGCGAAGAAATCAGTCAATGACAAAAGTCTTGAAACTGTCCATCAGTTGTCAGAAAGAGCCAGAATAGGCCAGACCCACGTTATCACCACTATTACGTTTTCCAATCTGATCGCACCAATTTAGGCATTGTTCCATGAGACAGATTATCGTGTTTCACTTCTACTCGTCCCCTCTTCCCTCCCCCTGTTCCATCACCCCATCCAAAAACGATTTAAATGTTTTCATCATTTGTTGGCCTACTCGCGATCCCGATCCCATACGCGAGATCCCAGTGATTCCTTGCATATACCCAACTGAAAGAGAGGCCAACGTGGAAATGCAGACCGAGTAGAGCCCTCTAAGAGAATCCCTGGTGTTTCTCATCGACGTTACTGCTATCTCCTCGCGACGTCTCGAAACGGCCGGTGACGGTGTACATCTCCCCGATTTACCCAGTCCGAGAGTGGTGGCTGCGTGCCAAAGTTCACCGCGGTCTTGGCAATTTTCTTTTGTTATCGTCGGAAACGTGGGAGCACGATGATCAACCGACTGACAGTTCGGGGCTGTAAGTGGCCTCTTTCCTTTCGAGAAAGGTAAAAAAAAAAAAAGGGGGGGAGAGGAAGGGCTGACCACGATTTGATGTTGCGATGGTGTTTGAACTCCTGGACGGTCTGGTACTTGTCGGGGGGCAGGGGGGGACAGCCTGCATCCTGCATCCACTCCGAGGCTCCTTGAGATGGCGCGTCTTGTTGCATCCCTTCTGCGACGCCTCGAAGCGGCGCATCGACTTGGGTCTGCTCGAAGTCGTCCCATCGCCAGCTTTCTACTCCTCGTCTCGTGTCTGCCTCGCCGAGGAAAACTGAAGGGATCCCGTCGATATTAGTATCTCTGTAGGAGTCAGAGGGCTGCCGAATCGGTCTGGAGTCGGCGGAGACTAGATGAGACACTGGGAACTTCGTTGTCGGTCGAGAAACGTGCATTTCTTGCACGGTAAATGATAGCGAGAAAACGGTTTTCCCGGGGAGAGATCGAGTGAAACGAAGACGTCTTTATAAGATGCACTCATCCCGATACAGAGATGAACCGAAAATTTAGACTAATCAGATGAAGAGATCAAGAGTAATGTGTTTTGATTGCTTAGTAGCAATTGCACACAAAGGGTGGGTATGTTTCAGTCTTGTTCGAATACGTTAGTAAGAAAGTCTTTCTCACGCACCCCTGGAATATAATTTTTTAAGCATCGATCTTATAATCAGGCGATGATAACCTTTGATTTTCTACTTGAAATTCGTAGTACCTTGAAAGCATTAAACACCTACCATAGGATCCCATATTCCGTGCGTCGGGGCTCTCCTCCACCCAATCAAAAGCTGAAATTTCATGTGAAAAAAAAAATTGGGTTCAGCCTTGTCGAGACGACGGCATCGAAACGAACGACGGAGACGAACCAGCCGGTGGACTCAAGGGGGTCATGCATGTGCGCCTGCACCCGTTGTGGCAGCACACCTTCCCGAGGGCGAGGCAGTCGGTGTCGTTCGTGCAGGCAGGGACCTGGCAGTGACTGGATGTCACCGGACGCGACGGCATCGGGCAGGCGTTCTCCCGTTTCTCCATCTCGGGTTCCCCCTCCTCCTCCGCCACGGTCTCGTTCTGGAGGGATTGCAGTGACGTCATCCGGAAGAAAGGCTCTCGTTTTCGTCTCGTGGCTCGTTTAACGCGGGACTCGAGATCTCTTTCGTCGGATGAGAAAGTGGGCCTTTACCATTGTTTCCAGCGCACTCGAGATGCTCCTTAACGGCAGAAAATCTTTTTCAGAAACAAGAAGGGGGGAAGATAAAGGAAGGAAAAAGCTTCTGAGATGGATCGTTGGTTCTCAACGGTCCCTGACTCCTTTCATCTCGACCCTTCCCATCCTCGTTTTTTTCTTCTTCCTCGTCTCATTCTATCTGCATATCATTCAGACATACCTCGTGTTAATGATGAAGTTAAAAAATGAGATGTTAAGCCCTCTTACTTAATTATGAGGGTCTCTTTCCTGCACGGAGGCTTAAAGGAGTGGGCACTCTTGAGGCCGAGGGCCAGATCCCGTACTTGAAAAAAAAAAAAAAAAAAAATATATATATATATATATATATGTTGTTACATTTTCATGCTCAAACTAGCAGAATTTCTTGACCATAATTTTCTGTGCATCATGCAAACGAAAAAAGGAACATGGCTGTTAATGGGAAGGGACTCCTTCTTGGCGCCATTAACATTTGCTCAGATAAAGAGGAATATGTATGCTTTCATGTTTTTTTTTATCATGAATATTTCATGACACGAGAGCTCGCCACAGAATTTCCTTGAACTCTGACAGAGATGTCTTTCCGTTCGTCGACGGTCCATCGAATTGTTTACAGACTGGAATGCTAAGAATGAACTCGCATGGCTCACGTGAGAAGCAGAAGCTGCCAGGACGAGGGAAAGGGCGAAGAGAAGAAGCAACTGCTCCATACGCAACAGACGCAATCGATGTGAACCCGATGAGCGAGAGAAATTTCGGGAGAGGTCCGCAGCCTCCGAACGCCCAGGTACTTCTGCTTCCCACGCGCTCTCGTCAGGCTCTCTCGCCTCCCGATCTTCCCACTCCGGCTTGTACGAGGGCATACTCGATTTGATCGATGGCGGTCTGCTCTTGTAAGGTGGGGCGGGGTCGTTCCGTTCCGTGCGGAGGAATTTTTTTCGCTCATCTGAAGCAGAATTTGAGGGTAAGGTTCGGGAAAACATGGATTTGTTTATCCAGCCGTACTTCCTGCAAGTGCTTAGTTTTCAACGGCTGATTTTGGTGATCGGAGCAATAAACCGCATGAAGGGAAGGGAGATATTATTGCATATTTGCAGTGCATATTGATTTTGTGAAAATCGCAGCAGCAAAACGAAAGCGTGGAGCGGGGAAAATGTGGTGGAAGGAAAGAAACGAAGAACTTCAAGAAAAGGAATTCGGTTCAGGTGCTCCTTTTTTCTTTGTGGGACGCGACATCGTTCAAAAAGCATAATAACTACTTAGCTATGGCTAGTCACTCTAGATGTCAGTAGTGATATTAAAAGACCTCCGGTTTGCCGCCAGTCCGGAGGGCCGGAGCGCTGCACTCAGATCTGCCGTAAGGGAGACCTGCCTGAATCGCACCAATCGAGGATGAGTGCGTGTGTGAGTGCTAGGCCAGGTCTGCGAATGTGTGTGGATGGTGTGCGTGAGCGTTCTCAGCGGGGTAGCCCTAGTCCTACAGTGTGAGAAGGAATGCTCCCCCTTATCATAACCATAACGTTACCATAGGCTAGGGTCTCTGAGCTCGGTCTAACCGAAGACTGGCAGTGCCGGGGCACTTAAAAGACAAGGTAGGTTTCGGCCTAACGTTAGGAAGTCTTTCAGGCTAGCCTAGGCCTATGATTGTCAAGATTCCCTGATGAAGCCGCGGTCCTGTGGATTTTACGCAGGCCTGTTCAAGCAACAGTCACAAACAGTTCGATGCTAATAGCCTGGGTTAGGAATGTGGTGTTGATCATTTATAGTCGTCACACTTGAGGCCCACCTCTTGTTGGGCGTGTTAGCCGTAATTGATCATGCTAACCGGTCAATAGCATATCCGTAATCAAGGTTGACGTTGGGTTAATGTGAGCCTATTTTACACTTGACAGAAGGTCAATCATAATGTCAGGTGTTGTCTATACTGGAAAAGGTAATTAAACATGACATACAGTGACAGGTAACACTCAGGTCTCGGTTGCATTGCTAGTTAATTTGTCTAAATCTGTTTGACTTGGATGATTTTTTTTGTTCTCATGTCATTTCATCTTTTCTGCATTTATAGGTTGGTCTGTACCCAGATCTACACCTGGGGTCATGAGAATTTCCAAAAAGCCTTCAAAGTTTAAAATGGTTTGATTCATGAAGCATGTAGTCTTGACTCGAGAAGCAGGAGAAAGTGGTTAGGTAAAGTCTGAACAAAATGAGTGCATCGAAGAAGAAGGCAGAGCTCAGTGGTGCCAACAAAGGGAAAAGAGCAAACGGAATCGAAGACACTCAAGAGAACGAGACATGTCTAAATGAGGAAGGCAGAATGGCCAGGTTTACCAGGGCTCCTTCCTCAACAGTCAGACGCATGACTGAAAAGCTGGGACTCGAGACAAAACGATCATGTCTCATAGTGAGCCTTCTCCTGTGCTTTGTGTTTATTCTAATTATCGCTGTGATAGTGTTGGCGTTGCATCTACCGAGCGGACCGTATGCGGATGACGAAGGAACCTGCTTGGAACCCGAGTGCCTCAGAGCAACTGCCATGGTGAGCATATCCAACAGGCCTAGGAGAGTCAGTTAGACTCTTGCATCCTTATTTTAAAAATAGCCAGAGGGCATACATGACTTGCTATATTTGAAGTTGCAAGATTTTTTCAGTCAACAGGCATTTGTCCTCTACACTTTGTTTAACTGCTGGTACAGTTGGTTTTGTCTGTAAATATATGGATGGCCTTCCCTTCAGTTTCCTCTACAAGCCCCCGAGAGAAGGGATGGAACAAATAATACTAAAAAAAAAAAAATAGAAAAACCTCTGAAACTCTACCTGTTTTGATGACTGTGAAGCAGGTGGCCTTGCTCTGAAGACAGATACAGGTAAGTTGTACCTGAAAGCCTACCTGTATCTGGGAGGCTTTGCTTGCACAGGCATGCTGAGGTACATAATGTTGATTTCATTAAATCTCTGCACTCTGTCTCCTTCAATTTTTTGTTCCATATTGCATTAGTGCTCCAGTGTTTTCTACCATCCTGTGCATGTAGAGTTGCAGTGAATTTCTGTGGGAAGGAGGAGTGGCCTCAGCCTCGTCATCAGTTTTCCCATAATCAGTTATCATGTTAGGAATGTGTAACTGAGCACATTTGGAATCCGTTTAAATCGTTCAAAGGATGGTCATACCGGTGCCCATTTCTTTTAAGGAAGCTGGAAGGATAGGAGGAAGGAATTTACTGGAGTAAGGGCAGGTAGATCTAGTGGATGCCCTTGAAAGCTTTCATACTGGAAAAGGGAGGAGCAAGTTGTACTAAAAAAAAAAGCATCGACCGGTTCCGATAACAGCTAGGCAGTCTCGCAAATGGAGATGAGACCCAGGGATGTAAGTTAGGGATGGTTTGAGAGACGAGGGAGGTCGACACGACGGGCTCAGTTATCTCCAGGCTCCATCTGCCTCGAATGAACAAAGATCTAGTCTGACTCTTGATGGAATGGAGTTCTTTGCGGTACCATCGACCCCGATTCCTTCTTTTTTTCCCCTGCAGTTGAGAAGTAATTTCAACGGTTCGGGCAGTCCGTGTGATGACCCGTGGGGTTTCACGTGTGGGCGATGGCTAGCCGAGAATCCTATCCCGGAATCAAAATCCAAATGGAGCATGACCCAGCAGCTCCGATTTAAAGGTAGTTAATCGCACTGCCGATTTTCTAAGCCTGGAATCCACGAAATTATCGACCGGGTTGATTTCTGCTAGCTGTCGAGGAATATCATCGCCTGATTTACACCCTCCCTCAGCCCATGCAACTGGACTCCTTGGACTGGAAGCTGAAGACGTTCTACGATTCCTGCATGAACCTAGAATACATCGATTCGGACAAGGCGAAGCAACTCAAGATCGAGATCCGACAGTTGGGTAAGCATTCTCCATTAGTGTATTGTGCCTTTTTGGACGCGCCTTCACGCACAGACGCGGTGTTGTGCGTGGTATGCCCCGAGGGGAGGATCTCATACCTGACTCATTCATCTCCCCCCACTCCCTTGTGTTGCACTTTTTTTTTTCCCTTCCTACTTCAGAGGAGTTCAAGGTTGAGGAATGCAGCAAATGTCGTCCGCATCACCGACACGCGTCGCGGGCCCGATGACGAGAAGCATCCCACCGGGTCGACGTAATAGGCATCAAGGGGGGGGGGGGGGTATAGGGAAAGTTGAGGGTGCGACGAGGCGAAATACAGCCGCGAGTGAACTCTGCTCTTCTCCGTCGTGATGGAGCGGGAAATCAGTCCAAGGTCGATATATAATGCTCGGCGCACATTCCCACACTTTCATCACGAAGAGGTTAAGGCGTATGCCTGAAATCCAGTCGACTGGATACATTCAACTTTGCCCAGGTATTTATGGGAATCCATTTGGCTGGAGACGTTCTTATTCCCATAGAACCCCGTGTGAAAGGTATAACTGCGCATGTAATGTGATGCCATATCTTGCGTGCGACACATGTTACTGTAGCGCATGAACTTCATGACTCTGCTGCCCTCTTAGCAGCACGTGGTTATCAGTAGAAACGGAACTAGGACAGGAAAATGCATGTCTGCGATAAAGTCCATGTACCGTGATGAAAGTAGAGTTATCTTGAGCCCTCGAGAACGATAGAGGCACAGGAGGCGGGGGAGACAGGGAGAACCCAAGGGTTGGAGGAGGGGGGGGGAGGGGAGGGTCGGCTGTTTCGCAGCGGCGTTTGCGGTCCGAAAATGCAGACGATTCTGGGAATGTTCTTCCCGGCGGCTTGCTGAGAACCACTGCCTTAGGAGTGGATGCTCCTAAGGCAGTGGTTCTCAAACTTCCTTTCACTCTCATTATATCTTCATGCGTCCAGGAGTCCAAATCTCCAGTTCGAGTACCGCTGCTCTCAGGGGTTGTTCAGTTAGATCGACGAGGAATGATGCGAGAGGGAGAGAAAGGGGGGGGGGGGGCTCCGAGGCAATGCCGTTGCATTTTTTCCTGGCGGTTTCAGTTCGATATCGATGCGGATCACGGTTTCCGGGCAGGCATGATTTTTTTTTTTACTCGTCCGATGTTGCTGCTCGTGGGGATATTGATTAGTTTCTGTTAAATCATCAAGGAGTGGGACTTATCTGGCTTTTTTTGCGCTTCAAAGTTATTTGGGTGTTGGAGGGAAATACTTGTGAGATAAAATTCATCGTTTTGGATAGAAAAGCGATTGAAATGCGTGGCTTAGAACGCATGAATGGAGTGCGACGTGCGGAATGCGGTTCATGCCTTCCGCTGTGGTCGATATAGAATTAAAAAAAAAAAGATGCAGCCCCGGCATATTTCTCACCTGGGGAAATGAAAGTTCCGCCTGGTACCTGCCAATCGCATTCTGAGACTTTTTATGAGCGCCAGCGGCTAGGAACCAAAGAGAGTCCGCATTTGAACCAGACGGGCTTAGCTCTGTGGAGGGGGAATGCGAGGTAGCAGATTTTATAACGGTCCGACGTCAGTGTTTGAAGGATCGCTGGAGTTCAGAAGGGGATTCGTTTAGGAATCCATCATCAGATGAGAGGAGAAGATAGTCTGATTATTCATGACCGAACCACGGTCGCTGCTGGACCGACCTGAAAAACAGGCGACAAGGACAGGGTCTTCATTCCTATCTCAGGCTGAAATTCTCGTTAAGAGAAACATTGTTTCGTATAATACACTTGACGCCAGCGAGCGTATCCATTTTCATCTCTCAAAAAAAATTTTTAGTTGACGTGCTCCAAGCAGTGAAATTCTAGAGGAAAATGGGGGGGGGGGGGAGGCTGTACAGAAAGTGATCGATGAACATTGCGGTAAGTCGCTGGCGATGAACTCCAGCTGTAACTGAAGCAGATTAAGTTCAG